GCCCAAAACTGGCCTGCCCTACATTATGATCTTATTCTTACACTAAATCTCACAACTTATAGCAAATAGTGGCACACAAGCCAAGTTAGTGTGGTCAATTTGAGAGCTGCAACAGTTTCCATTGCGGTATCAAGATGTCTCTGTTCGTCATGCTACAAAATAGTACTTACAGTATATGCCTCTTTTGAGCTATCTTGTTAAAAGGGTCATTGCAAGCGTCAGTGTGTTTGAGCTCCGTCTGTGGTTTTGTGTGGAAAGGACTGTACAATACAATCACTCCTTTCTTGGCTGTTTTAATGATATGGTTACCACCGGTTTGCTGGTTGGATTGAGTTTCCTATATTTGGAATGTTTTTAGACATAAGTCTTCCTCAGGTAAAAAAAAAAGAAACCATTTAAGTCAGTTGGGATGTTCAATGTCACAAAGTTTGTACAGTATTCTTCTGTTTTTACTTCAGTGAACTCTTGATAGAGGCTGGAATTTTGCTGTGATATGAGGGAAAAGAATGACGTCATTTTCATGTTTTGTTGAATCAGAGGTATGTATGGGTGGTTGGGAAGGGGGACTCATCACTCCTCCGTCCAACCTCTTACCTCCCCTTTTGGGCCTTTAGGAGCATCCTGTGAACTTTGACCTTTTGGACAATAGAGGCCAGGACGTTTCCCAGTGAGCGGCGATGGAGCCAACAACAGGAACATGAGGGGTGCTCATGGGAAACAAACTGTTTATTGTGCGGCAGGATGGGCAGCCGACCCCCCCAGCCCCCATGTCCAAGTTGCTTACTTACACACACACACACACACACACACACACACACACACACACACACACACACACACACACACACACCCGACTTTACTGCACACTAGCATATACACTTCTGAATTGTAACAGCTTGTTAAGTTCTTTATTATGACCATTCATAAACTACACACTAATTTCCCATATCCCCAGGGGAAAAAAGGGACTGTGCCCTTTTTCGTTTTGTTTAAATAAAAATCGCTGTAAATTTGGCGAAATTTAAACCAAAATCCAAAACATCTTTTTGAGAGGGAGGGGGTATTTTATGAATTCTTAAATTTTAGCAAAATTGGGGCGATACAGGATAACTGGTTAGCACGTCGGGCTCACAGTGCAGAGGTGCAGGGTTCAATTCCGGGTCCGGCTTTCCAGTGTGGAGTTTGCATGCTCTCCCCATGCTTGCGTGACTTTTTTCCGGGTACTGTACTCCAGTTTCCTCCCACATTCCAAAATCATGCATGGCAGGCCGATTGAACGCTCCAAATTGTCCCTCGGTGTGAGTGTGAGCGCGAATGGTTGTTCGTTTCTCTGTGCCCTGCGATTGGCTGGCAACCGGTTCGGGGTGTCCCCTGCCTACTGCCCGGAGACGGCTGGGATAGGCTCCAGCACCTCTCGCGACCCTAGTGAGGATAAAGCGGTTGAATGAATGAATATATATATATATATATATATATATATATATATTTCTTTCTTTTTTTTTCTCACATTCAACTTCTATTGACAAATGATACATGTAACAAAAAAAGATACAATAAAGACAAAGAAATAGCAAAACGCATTTCCAGAATTATTCCTTTGTTACAACTGAGGTCTTGTGTGGTACACTTAGGCCTCGCATGGATTGCTGACATCTGCATAACCTCTTTTGAAACTCACTTGAAGCAGAGTTATACTTTTGTGCAACCTCAGGGTAGTTAGACTATCGAACTTTCAGTGCTTGATTTTCATTGGCATTTTGTACTGGCACGTGTTCAAAAAATGTTTTGACTTTTATGTACAGTATGAGCACAGTCCACTGCGTTTTTTATAGGTCTGAGCAAAGACCCACTTTTCTGATTTCTCGCTTTCCCACACTGTCTGCACTTCATTCATTGCAAATGGTAAGTTCATATTTAGAGACACTTTTTGTTTAAATAACATTGCCATGCTATTCGTTGGTGCCGCTAACGCCAGACTGTTACAAAGGAAATCCCTCCTTTGTCTGCCAAGGAAACTCGCCTCGCGAGGAAAACCTGAAATTGACATCAGAAAAACCAACAGCTGGAACATATTTGATCCTAGATGATAACCAGTAAATGTGTTAGTCAACACTATATAGAGCGCTGGTGGCGAGACTCTGGGGATTACTCATTGCATGAACTGCACAGTTCGACATTTCAAAAAGCCATCAATCAGTGTGCAGTGAGACACTTGGGATTGGTCTGAGAGTGCTTCACCACAAAGGAATACTGCTTCCTTATGATGATATGTTTGGTTTGTCTGGTTTCCACATGATGCACATCTGATAAGAGAGGACCAGAGGCAACGGAACTGGATCATGAAGCATTTCAATTCCTAAAAAAAAAATGGCAGAGTAAATGACATTGGAAATCATATCTGCTTACATGAGAGAATGATGAGTTGTTTAGTTAGTATTTAGTAGTTAGTTGTTAGTTAGTAGATTAAAGAATGGGAAAAACATGACATTGGTAGAGTTTGAAACTAATTACGTTCTCCTTCGTCAGTATTTCCTCCATAACTGAAGTGTATTTCAAAAGTAAATCATCTTACATTCCTCCAAAGGCTAAAATTACCACAATGATTCCAGTGTTAAATTATGAGAGGCACACTCCCTCTCCACAAATTGTTTTTGGCTGATTGTTACCTCATGTGCTTGAATGTGCAAAATAGACAAGAGATTGTGAAATTTACTTCGGGTTACTGTACTGATTATTCTACTCGCTTTAAATCTTTCACATTCAAAATTGGGATGCATTGTAATGTGCCATGCTATTCATGCATGCGTGCATTGTGAACTCATGGTGTGTAACAAACATCATTTGTGAGGCCATCTTTTAACGTAGCCACACACAAAAAAAGGACCCCTTATAATTGTTTTTTCCATTATAATTACCAAATAAGTTCAATCCCTAAAACAAAGTGAAATGTTAAGGACTGATATTGAGATGTTTCAGGGTCAAGGGGCACCTTAACACTGACAAGCAAAATCAAATCACAGTGAAGGAAATGAGCCATGAAACACAGACTGCTTCACGCATAATGACCTTTTTTCCTCTTGTTTAGCTCAATAATTATTTGATTGTGCAGAGTGCTGACTTCACTGTAAACATGAGTGCTACTTGCACATATAGCCTGAGTGTATAATCAAATCAAGACCATTGATACAAGGAGTGAACAAATATCTCTTAGTGTGTGACAACAATGGATCTTTGTTCTGAGGGAGAGCCTTCAGAAAGCTGATACACTGACCCAAGGTAGGACACCTCAGGGGACTGTGAGCCTGGCTTGTGCTCAGAATTAATTGGTTCTGCTTTTATTGGATAATTTGGCCATTAACAAGACCAATCTAAGTTAATTTGGAAAATGACATACTATGTGCCTTGTCATGGCAGCCATGGGAAAAGAGCCATTGAGAGAAGAATACACTCTGGCTCAGAGGTGGAGCGTAAATGCCACAAAAAAAAAAAGTGAAAAGCTTTCTGTTTTACTATTGAACTAGTATGATTCATGGGACCAAAACGATGCGTCGCTGAGGTCTGCTGAGTCCATTGGCTCACATTACAACACTACAGGCTATTGCCATCATGAGACGGGGCAGCTGAGCTCTCGCCCCCACCCGTATCACCCTGGTCCTGACACATTCACACCTTCCCTCATACATCAGTTTAGAACTTGGGCCACCAGTCATGTAACTGAACACTCAAGTTCTGGCTGTAAGTGGGAATTCCCCAGTACGGGACAGTGATATTTTGCCTTTCGGAAACAAATACACATCTTATTTATTACTGACTATTTAAAAAGTTGCATTTACCTTATGCCTTGAAGTGCCTCATGAGTGTCAACTACAAATTACAAACATGTGGGTTTAAGTATATGGAAGCAAGTAAAGCAATATTTACTTTATAGAGTTTCCAGAAGGCACTATTGAGGGTGGTTGACAACGTGAACCAAGGCTTGGCATAAACAGCGCGAGTCTGAAAGCCTGATAAACATTTGTTCCAGAGCTTCCAACAGAAGGGCCCTGGTGCTAAGGAGCCAAAGTGCTACCTCTGCAGCCTGCTGAATCTGATTACAGCAAGGCCTCGGGACAGGCAGGTCATTCAGAGCAGGGAGATGAGCAAACAATAAGATATTATCTGAAGGAATCTTCAGTTTTCCAAAGGAAAATGGTTTCTCTCAGTGTCACACTGACGATAGGATCCTCAACCTGACACTGAATCAGCCATTTAAGAATGAACACTGCAGCCCATTCATACACACTCACTAAAATAATGAGAGGTCCTTTTTCACCCTTGTTTAACACATATAAAGGAAAGTTCATGGGTCTTTGCAAAAACAAGGCTGTGCAGAAACCAGTGCATGCAGCTGACTCAGAGAAAAATGACTTTACAATGACAGCATGTGGAATTAGCAACCCTATAGCCTTTGTGTTTCTTTCTGCATGCATTTAAGTTAAAAAAAATATATATATATGTGTGGCTTCATAGTTGTGTTCATTGTGTGGTCATTCTGTTATCAAATGCCTGTGCTTTAGAACTCGAGATCCAATATGACAACGTGCATTATTGGGGCCCTGGTTTGACTCATTTGTTCTTTTCAAATAGTGACATCTTGTGGTTACTTGGCCACACTCGTTATTTCGATGTTACATTTTACAGCCAGTGGCCCTTTCAAACACATCACCCGCTCGAGATGCTATGGGTTTGACCAATGACAATAAGCACAATTCTGCTATTTTGGAGGATTTGGGAGAACAGTACCTCAGACAGTCACTTCCATAACCTCTAATCCTCTGGATGACCGGACTTGTTTTGTCATTAATATTCTATGTCATATTCATATTTATATTTATTCTGTGTACAATCAAAAGTTCTATACCGTGATCCACAAATTTCTATTTTGAAATGATCGAAAAACTGAAGTAAAATAATCAAGCCGAGAGGCAAAATCAAGTCTCGCGATGTTTCCCCAATACTCTTGCGCCTGCCAGCAAGGGGGCGAGAATGCGTTCGTAGGGGTACTAGCAAACACCTCGTCAATTTTAGGACTAGCAACAGAAAGAAAATACGGTTTTTATCCCCTCATGTTTGGTGCTTACGTTGCTCCAGAAAGCAAAACACCAAAGTCGTTGTAGGCCAGAGGTGATTGCCCGCATCCCGTTGTAAGGTGTAATTTGGAAATTACGCCACCACCGAATATACATTGTATATGTTCATATCTAACGGTTAGCTGACAGGGTACCCAGCACAGCCATTGGGGCAATGGCGTTGAAAAGAATTCAGAAGGTGAGTGTTTTTCAACCCTCCACGAGCTAGTTGTGCTATACTTGGCAACTGTGTGTTTAATGATGGACCCCTTTCGCGTAAGATGACGAACCGGTCGCCGCGGTATCCTGAAGCTCATCTCTTCCTTTTTAACGCTATTCGGCTTGAAGACAAACAAAGACCAGCTAACCTAAAGTTAACCGGTTTTGGCCGCGTATGTGCGTTGCCAAAGTAACGCCGGCTGAGAAGAACAAACCCGTATTAAGATATTGTCTTTGTTTTGGGCGCGTGCACGTGCGCGCGAGCGTGTGTGTGTTTTTTTTAGAGCAGATAAGAGTATTTGCTAGTCCGCTGGCGATGTCTTATCTAAACGTAATCGTCCCACACACCGTCACCGCATCGCATCGGCTCACGTAATTGTGTGATTTATACATTTATTTAGAACGTGTGCAGGATATGACTTCTGTTTAGTTACTTCTGGGCAGTTGATATTGTCAAAGCGGGTTTTAGGGTTAAGACAAGTTGTGTGTTTGAATGACAGCTGCTAGCTGGTTGCCAAAATTGAACCCCGGTGTCGCTGTTTCCATATTTGGGCTGGCAAATGGGGCAGCGCGGTTGGCCAAGGTGTGTGTATATTTTTATACTGCTAGATAGTTTTTGAATAGTGTTAGAGATGGCAGGCATACAACGAGATGCTGAAATGCCATCTTGTATAAGTGTTAGGTGTTCATTTTGTCTTGTCTAAACCAAGTTATGTAAGTTGTCTGATTACAAGTTAAAGTAAATGAAAATATTGTTATTACTGCTAATAATAGCATGAGTCATCATTAGCTCCAACCACATAATCTAATGTGATGTATTATGAATCATCTGTATTTACAATGATACCAATGGATGTATTTTCGCCATCAGTGGTGCACTAAAGATGCTTTAGTTTCCAGAATTGTGTCCCTCTCACAGCTAAATCAGCTAACCAAAATGTAAAAATCTTAATTTCGTGTATTTCTACACCAGTGCAACCTACAATCTTCATACGTCTCTGACAGTGTCTTTATAAAAGCAGAATTTGCTGATTTAGCTTTATATTGGATCACATTAGCTTGCGCAGGTGTACATAATATCGTGGCTGCCTCGAGTTTGTGTCAGCTGTCAAAGTCCTGAGACAAAATCGCATTTAGTCCTATCTTGAATCGTCTGGCTTTTCATTTTACCTGCTGCTGTACGTTGTTGACCAACAGTTATTTTATGGGTAAAGAAAATAGATATTTGACAACTAGTCATGTTTCAGATACAGTTATTGAATTATTTGTATCTTTACAGCAACCCGTGAGCATAGCAATGTGTGTTATGACTGCTTTTAAAAGTAATTCCTGGCTAAAAAAAATTTGGTGTCAGCCCAAAGACAAGTCAAACCATTTTGCACATGGTGTTATTGTATGAATTATTCATTTGACTGTTCTTTTACCAGGAGCGTAGCTGTCAAATAATTTATAAAGTGGTTATACCAATTGAACATGAATATATGGGTGTCATTAATGTCTAACTGTTTGCCATTAGGAGCTGTCTGACTTGCAGAGGGACCCACCTGCTCAGTGCTCTGCTGGACCAGTTGGAGATGATTGTAAGAGTTCCGTTTATAGCATGTTGTTTTTCTATTGTGTGTATTGTACAGTAAACAGTAAATTCTCCTCTATTGCGGGGGGTTACATTCCAGAACACCACCGCAATAAGGAAAATCCGTGATATAAAAATACAACCTTGGTGTGTTATAACATATATCTTTATGACACTATTTTGTTTCGGGTACGTTAAAAACATATTTACAGTAATATGTTTGATGCGGCCCCACTAGTTTAAACTTGTTATTCTACTTCTCCGTTTGTGGCATATGAAATAAGTAGCAAAATCCACCAGTTTTTATCTATCGCAGGACACGGCCATTTTGTCACTTGCTGTCAACTGAAAATGACGTCACAGTTGCTCAGGGCTCAAGTAACATCCAGTCACAGCAAGGGATGTGTATTGATACGATTTTGTCGATACTATTACTCTTAACGATACTGCTTGTCATTCCGGTACCTTAACAGTATTCTTATCTGTACTTTTTTTTGTTTCGAAAAACACCACAAAAATATTAGAACTCATACTGCTTTTTTAAAAATAAATGTGCAACTACAATTACATTCATGTCAAATAAAAAATACATAAATAATTTGGACAAATCACTCTTATACTGTTAAACATTTTTAAAAAATTATGTCATCTAAAAGAAAAGTTGTGCCGAGTAACAAGGCTGGAATATGCAGTTGGGCTGCAAAAAGCACTTCTGTGAGGGAGATGCACATTTTTGATTGCTTGTGTTCAGGGGGAAACCCTGACATTTTAATGATCGATTGCACTTGTGACAACGTGCATTGAGCAGCGACGTTGCGACATCATCCCCCGTCCCGCTCCAGTCTACATGCATAATCACTCAAACCGAGAATCACCCAACTTTCACGTTAGTGTAACGGTTGCTTTGACTGTAAATCAATTAGTCATTCCTCAAGTGAAACGCTCAACTGCAATGTTTGTAGCGAGTAGCAACAGAGCTAATGTAAATTAACCAGCTTGCGTTGTGTGAGTGTACGTTATTGACAGCGCCACTTTAAAGCCTGAGTATGTGGGGCTAGGATTCCACTCATCAAAATAACAGAAAAATGATGGGGTTAGACGGCATGCTGGATGTTAAGTAAGACTATGTATTATGTCATAAAATGATCACACAGCGCAATATTTGCAAAGGAAGGAGTCACAGGTGCCTCACATGCATGGAAAAGCGTTGAGGCGAAATGGCTCACCTCCAATTGTGAACACATATCGTGACCAAACATATTCATAATTTTATTGTTCATTAGAAACAATATCAGAGTGGTAGAAGTTGCAAAGTAACACTCATAGAGCCTAAATCAATCAAAAATTAATTTGAGTAATTCCTCTAAGACTGTTAACAGAATCATTAAGAGTGGAGCATACTGTTACTTGTACATTACTGTACAAACACATCATTGATCAGAATGATGTGTTTAGACTAGTTGGGGCTAGAGATAAGATCTGTCCTAAAAAATCGAGCCCGACCCAACCGGGCCCGAGGGTATTAAAGCCCGACCCGGCCCGAGCCCGATCACTTAGCTTGATTTGCAGGCCCGAGCCCGAAGCAAACCCGACATTTCATATTTTATTTGTGAGTATTTTTGGTAGAGATTCACATAAACATGCCCCCTACTGTATGCCTGCTGGCCGGGTGAGAAGCATGGTCCTAGTGTCCGCCACAATATTTATTTAAAAAATAAAAATAAAAAAGCGAGAGAGAAGCCCGACCCGACCCGAACCCGAACCAATGATTGACATTTTAGGGCCCGACCCGACCGTCGGGTCAGCCTCGGGCTTGGGCGGCCCGATCTTACCTCTAGTTGGGGCCGCATATAACATATTAATGTCAAGAACATTTTTGACTTGACTTCCCCTTTAAACACATTTAAAATGATACAAATACATTGAAACATGTATAATATCTTTAGGGGAGAACAAGATTAATGAATAACACAAAATGTTGTACAAACTATAAAAAAACTGTGCACTCAAACCAGCAAAGATGACAACAAAGATGATGATTAAGCAGCCATGATAACAGTGTTTCCATTTCATTGCTGCAATAAAGGTGTCCCCCTTTGTTTACAAAAAAGAACTCAATCATAACAAACTTGTTGTGTGTGGAAATTGAACATTGAAAATGTTCCTCTGGCATGAGCATTGCAGTACAACATGGTCACAGCCCTTCCAGTTTTTGTTGGGTTTTTTTTTTTTGTTTTGTTTTTTGGGGGGGCGGGGGGGTACGAACATGGCAGTTGCTGGCTGCCCATGTTTCTTTCTTTTGTATACCTGTTTGGCTCCATCAATGCTGTTTTGAAACTGCAGTCACAACCCTTGTCAGTATCCCCCTCAGATAAAACATGACGTCACCTATACAGACAGCATGGGAAACGTGGAAGTGATCAGCAAGGCGAGCAGGGTGCCATGTGTCGACTGACAGAACACAACAGCCAATCAGCGGCTGATAAAACGATAGTGACACCCCGATTGGCCGAATCGGTACATACGTGGAATTTAAATTCCGGCAAATTAATGAAAAATAATGATGCAAAAATAAAAAATAAAATAAACATGAAAAAATGGACTGTGAACAGGGAACCCGTTCTGCTGTACTTCAAACAGGTACATCTGGAAAAAGTGAGATGATCATGAAAATGTTCAATATTCTTATTCCCCTCATTTGCGAAAGTGAAAATTCTATTTTATACACAGAGTGGAATAGCTCAACCATTTAAATCTGGCAAGTTATTTTGGTTTATAGGTCATTCAAAAAATTCAGTGTCTCAGAAAATGTGCGTGTTAAAGATGATGACTACAAAAGGATATTTTAAATAAAATGTCATGCTTCTGAAAATTGTGTAAATTTCTCTGCACTCAGTACTTGACTGGGTCTACTTTTGAATGGAATACTGCATCAGCCAGTAGCGCTGCTCAGTGTGTGTAATGGAAGTCCATGTTGCTTTCATAGAAGCATTCAGGTCTTGATCTACATTTTTGGGTTTGGTTCCTCTCATCTTCTTCAGTTTCCGACAGATTCTGAATGGCATTTCGCTCAGGTGAGTTTGCTGTCCAATCAAGCACACTAACCATCCTGCTCATTGAACCAGCTGCTGGTATGTTTGGCAGTATGTGCAAATGCCAAATCCTGCAAGAAAATGAAATCAGCTTCTCTAGAAAGATTGTCAGCAGAAGGAAGCATCATTTGCTCGAAACCTTCGTCGGAGTAGATTGCTGCTTTGACTGTCCGCTTTGGAAAACACACTGGACCAACACCGGCTGATGACAAAAGACCTCAAATCATCACTGACACTGGAAACTTCACACTGGACCGCAAGTAATGTGGGTTCTGTGCCTTTCCACTCTTCCACCAGAATGTGGGACCCCGATTTCCAAACGCTATACAAATTTTACTTACATCTGACAAGAGGATTTTGGACTTCTGAACAACAGTCCAGTTCTTTTTCTCCACAGCCCAGGTAAGACACTTCCGACATTGTTGCTGGTCCATGAGTGGCTTGACATTTCTAGCCCATGGCGAGGAATCGTCTGACGCCAACCTCAATATGTCTTTGTGGACTCCCCCAAATTCTTGAATAGATTTTGCTTGACAATCCTCACAAGGCTTCGGTTATCCGTTTATCTGGTGCAACTTTTCTTTCCATGTTTTCCTTCCACTCACCTTTCAATGAATATGCTTCTTGGATACAGCACTGTATGAAAAACCAGTATCTTTTGGTACGAGCTTTTGTGCCCTCAATGACTGTCCTCTGGACTTCTGTCAAGTCAGCAGTCTTCCTCATGATCGTGTAGCCTGCTGACCCAGACAGACTATTTAAAGGTTTGGGAAAACTTCACAGGTATTTAGTGGTAATTAGTTGCTTCGGGTGTGACACTATGACTCTCCAATCGCGTACTTTTTCACGATATTCAAACTCTCTGAGACACTATAATCTCTAATCCCTAATCATCAATTTGCAAGTTTAAAATGTTCCACTCTGTGTATAATGAATCTATCCTATATGGGTTTCACTTTCTGAAATGAATGACAAAAAATATTTAACTTTTTCATGATGAACCATACCTGTACTACAATGCATTGTGCATTCATCCATCAGGGGTTTCTATCCAAATCCACATGAATTTGGTATTTAAATTCCTTGGGGTGTCAGACACGATGTTGTTATTGTTTTGTCTTTTTCAGTGTTTCATTGGCAGGCAACGATAATGGGTCCAGTAAGTATTCCTCTTGTATAGTTTCATTTCAAATGTGTTACACATGCACTAACTGCTTCTGTCTGTATGCCACTAGAGTGACAGCCCTTATCAGAATGGAGTGTTTTTCCTCACCATCCACTTCCCTACAGATTACCCATTCAAACCACCAAAAGTGAGTAACTATCTGACATCAGTGTCATGGAATACGGCCACTTAAGTTGTTTCTATTTTATTTGACTTTCATAATTATTGGGAATTGACAACTTTCCTACTAAATTTCAGGTTGCATTTACAACAAAAATTTACCATCCTAATATTAACAGCAATGGAAGTATTTGTCTGGATATACTGAGATCACAGTGGTCACCTGCACTAACAGTATCAAAAGGTAAGTGCCAATAAATTTGACCGACAGTAGTTGCCTGTCTGGTGGCAACTGTGTATGTCACTTTAAAAAAATTTTTTTTTCAGACCAAAAAGAAAAAAAATGCTGATCCATGTTTCACAGCCAGTTCTGTATGTTGAATATGAATATTCAAATATTTTGATAGGTCAATGTGCATAAATTATTGATTATTGGGCCATTTAAAGATTTGAAAATAAATAACAGGATCTTAAAAAGAAAATGTATAGGGAGCCAGTGAAGGGATGCAGAGTAGGAGCTATGTGCTCCCTCTTACGAGTACCAGTCAAGAGGTGAGCAACATCATTCTGGACCAACTGGAGACGCTTAATGGAGGATTGCCTGACTCCAAAGTAAAGTGCATCACAGTAAATCAGCTGGGATGTGACGAAGGCATGAATTACTATTTCAAAGTGCTCTTGTGAAAGGATGGGCTTTCCTTTAGCCAGTTCAGTCAATTATTACACCCCCCCCCCCCAAAAAAAAGCTTATCTGCGTATAACACACGCTTGGATCTGTCATTTGGTACAGTGTATTTCAGATACACCATAAATGACAACACACAAAATGATTAAATCAGCACTTCCTTAAACTGTCTGCAGAGAACTTTTATGGCATTTAACCTTTATGGCTAGTAACCATCTTGTTCAACCTACATTACTTTTGCTACATACACTTGACAGTCTAGCTATAACATACTCCACTTTTTTCCATATTTATAGCAGCTTGTAGCATTTTGAAATAGAATATCAACTTGTGAACCCTGTCAAGTCAATGTAGCCCTTTGCGTTGTCAAGGCCCTAACTTGGCCATACGTATGAATTCAGGATAAATTCTTATTTTAATGACCATATGCTTTGGGAAAACTTCCTTTGTGGAGTTGGTTCAGTTTTCAGCTACAATAACTTGCACTTTTCTGGGAAGACTTTCAACAAGATTTTGGAGCGTACCAATGGGCTTTTTTTTAAGTACCGGTACTCTAACCTTGATTAAAAAAAAAAAAAAATGTTGGCTTCTTAAAACGTTGATTGTACTTGTATAATTTCCACAGTATTATTATCAATCTGCTCCCTTCTTTGTGACCCAAACCCCGATGACCCTTTGGTGCCAGAGATCGCTCATACGTACAAGGCTGACAGGGAAAAGTAAGTGCACAAATGCATTAGCCAGCTGACATTCAAAATAGATTGCAAGTGGACTGAAGACACTGTTTGGGTTTTGCAGGTACAACAAATTAGCAAGAGAATGGACCCAGAAGTATGCAATGTGAGGTTGCCAGCGAGACGGAAATCCAAAAGGAGAACAAAAGAAACATGTTTGATTGTAACTGGAGGCATAGGGAAAACAACACGAGACAACAGCTAACCTTTTGGACAAGGCGGCAATATCCCGATGTGCTGAGTTTATCCGATGCACTGTCCTTGATGCATTTATGGATCTCAGCAGGACCTGAAGGGCTCCTGGAAGCACTCGCTTAGCGAAAACCAGACACTACTCACAGCCCATACGCCATACTCAAGACTTTAAATTGTTATCCTTGCTATTGTTCTAGCTGCCATCTTTGTTGCTTTACGTACACATCTTTCATTGTCATGTTGTTTTACTTTGTTGGGTTTTGGAAACCATCACCTTGATTTTTGGGGATGCTGCCTCTGTCCCACCGGATGTCCTCCTCTCTTACTGCATTTCCATGGATATCGTGGCCTTTCTGTGTTCTGATGTTTCGGCCAACGTGCAATTGAGATAGAATGTTCCCAGTTCAACACAATAATGGTGCGGTGCTATTACCAGCAGCTGATCAAATGGCACACACAAATACTACCCCAAGACAATGTGAAAATGTAACAAAAAAAAGGACTGATCAGATATATTCCTTTGCTTTTGGAATCGCAGCATGTAGCGTTAATGGCACTGGAGCTTTATCTGCCCTTCTGCAGCCCACAACACACACACACACACACACACACACACACACACACACACACACACACACACACGCGCGTAGGTCAGATGGCAACTGGATTTTTCTCACATTTTGTCATTGCTCACATACCGATATCTTGTATAAGAATGCATTCATGATGGGTCTGACAAACGTTACTGTTAGAAGACATTGCTGGTATCATCATGGCTACTCCTCGGCATATAGTGAAGCTATGTGTTACCTCCTCAGTACAGTTACTCAGGTATCAAACCCAATCATCAGCCTTTGGAATAAGCAGCGAAACTTGGTGAGAAAAATGCCTGAGGCCCATATTGTAGGTTGTACTATTTACATTCATAAAACAAAACAAAAAAATTGCTGAAAGACAGAACTGCTCATCTGCCCTGATGTTTGTTTTACATAAGTATTCATTTTGTTGGGGAGGAGTCTCCTTTCACGCTTTATATTTGTTTTATGAACAAAGCTCGGATGTGAACAACTTCACCACACTTATGCTACTGAAGTAGAACTATAGTAATGCTTTTTCAGGGTAAGTTAATATGAAATTGTCATCTTTCTTTTTTTTTTTGTTTACATTTCAGGTGATGTAAAGCTGCAGTACTCCATGCTCATAATCATGATTACACAGGTATATTTTGGGGTAAACAACCTCAGCTGACCAGTTTGTCTGGTTGCCACATTTGTTTAGTATCATTAAAACATTGATTTTTAGCCTTCTGTTGTCATGTCATCTGGTGCGATCATGATTGGAATGTGTCATATAATAATGTTAGTTTGAATTTAATACAATGTGACTGTTTGATGAACTAGTTAGTGTGTGCTATTTTTTTCCATGTACTGATGCTGCCAATATAAAGGGAAATTATTTAATTGCAGAAAGTGGAAGAAACAACATTATCCAACACATCTGAAATGGTCCACAGCAAAGCATGAACGTTAGTACTTTCAATTCTAGGTTTTAGACTGCATCCTAGATTTTAAATTCATTGTTGTTGTAGGAAAAAATGTCTGAAGCACCATATATTACAAGGTTTTGAAAAGCTACACTGAATGAAGTAAATGTCTTTTTATGTTTAGACTGTGTACAATGTTTATTTGGCTTTTTTTTTTCACACTCCTCCAACTGAATGACTGAATGCAGCCTCAATCCATTGTGACTGATTTTACCATTGACTCTTGTGCTCAAAAGTTTGTATAGGCAGCTTGGCATGCTTTGCACTCTAGAGAACCTTCTCTCAGCCACTTGCCAGATATCAGGGATTTTGTTATAATTCATCTGCCTAATACATTTGATGAAACTTTTAGCCTTAACCCTCATTTTGTATATACAGTACAGGAAAAAAAATCTTACTGTAAGTGTCAAATGCCTAAACTAGATGTCATGGCTCGTTCATTTCCTTAGAATTTGTTTTTTCTTAATCCAGGGCTGGCTTTCATGCATTTAAAATTTTGAAATTGTGCTTGAACTGTAACATTGAGCAACCACGTATCTTCACTTTGTCCATGCAAGCTAACTGTTGACATTGTCATTAAACATTAATAAAAGCAATGGCTTTACTGTCGTTTTCAATTTTCTGTCATGTATTTTAAAAGGTAATGATTGTGTAAACTCAAAGCAAGTTGTCAAACATGCAAAATGAGAACACTAAAAAGAACTGGAAAGTGGGACGGCGGCAAGTCTTGCCTCTGCTTGCCCTAGGACTATCGGAAGCACTGACCAATATTTGATTGTTATTACTGTATTACTTTTAGGCTTATTCAAATTGTAACCTGCCCGGGTAATATCTAATCTGCCCAGAGCCTCCACAAACAGTTGTGCTATTTGCAATGAGAGTGTTTCTTAAACCAGTCAAATTTCAAAATTGTCCTCACAAGGAGGGAGAGCTGGCCTTCTCGAGGTCAGCACTCAGCATGTTTCTGCCCTGATTGATCGATACAGTCAACTGAAATTACCCAGCATGTCTGCCGTGTTCTCTGTACACACTAATACATTCATAAAGCTGCATATTTGGTCAGCGTGATGTAATTGAATCAAATTGGTTATCTCTGTCAGAAATACCGATTCTGAACAGTCCAGGGTGATCTCCATTGCACAGGTGCACGTTATATTGCATTGTGTAACATTAGTTGCTTATGTGATTGCGACAAGTTGTAGTTTGAGTTGGGTTGTTGATTAAATGTACAACTAGACACTGCTAAAATGACTTTACTTGACTTTGAAACAAATGGACAAATGGGCTTTTCTACCTTCAGTACTCAAAGCGTACACTATACTTCAGTACACTGTGACCTCGTTTAACCTACTGATGACGCATCAGGAGCAACTGGGGGTTCAGTGTCTTGCTCAAGGACACTTTGACATGGGATCGAACCGCCAAACTCCGGGTTGGGAGAGGACCACTCTGAGCCATGGTGCCCCCGAGACTGCTGGATAGGAGAAGCAAGGTCTGCTCGATTCAATCACCCACCCGATTTCCTCTCCAGTGTTGTCAAATGAAAATATCCAATGATTGAAATCAATGCCTTGAATACTTCGAAGGGTCTACCAGTAATGAGTTTGATGCCACATTTTATATAGCCACAGTTTGCAGACAAACATGGTTCCTTGGTGCTGTCCCGCTGTTTTGACGCTGCCCCTCTATGTAGCCATTAGCATAGCCAGTTGAGCTTCCTGGTTAGCTGAAAGGCAGCGTCAGCGGCTGCCACTCCCCCAACAAGGAAGGAAGGAAGGAAGGGCGCATCCCGGATAGGAAAGCTAGCTGGCTAGCTCAGCCCATCCCAACTCAACTCAACACAACCATGGCAGTAAACCTGAGCAAAAATGGACCCGCGTTAACAGCGGCGTACAAAGAAGTCGTTAATGAAAAATCCGATACCAACTGGTAAGGCGCAGCAAGTTCAAATAACGCGGAAAACTTTGAGGCTGATGAGGAGACATTGCGATTTGATGCTGGCTAGCATGGGAGCAGCCAGTCGTGAAGTAACGTTTAAGCTGTCTGTTGTGTTCACGAAATCTTACTCTTAAACCTCAACTTATCTTACATTGTAAACCTCTATGTATTTTTGTTCCCTTATCTAGGGAGTCGGTTTTTTTGGCCTCGACGAATGGTAATTTTAGATACTCGAATCGAAGCCCATACACCATTATTCATTGGGAATTTTGCATTCAAAACGGTTGAAGAGTTGTTTCATGTTTTGCATATACGTTGTTTATTTTTCTAACGAAGTCTTTGATTGTGCGTCTGGCAAGGCCCCTCACTTCCTGGTTAAGCCATGATGTGGAAATTGACAAATGCAGTACTGTGACTTTTGAACATTAACTTCATATAGTCCTCTGACATCCGCTGCAGTTTAAATATTCCTCGCTTTTTGTCATTCTATCTCTGCATGTCCTTGGCTGGACTTTCAAGTGATAGATAGTAGCACCACCCTAATATAATATGTAGAATAAATGTGTCTTTGATCATCTCTTTATGCCGGTGACACATAGTGACAGAACAATTAAATGTCCTTCCACTACCAACCCAGTTGTTGTTGCTACTATTGCAACATTTGTGAAATGTTGCAATTGTAACATGTCTTGGCTCAATAAAAGTTGGAAAACACTGTTATAGATAATAATAAGACATAAGGGAACATACTGGTCCAAATGAGTCAAAAGCAAGTATTTGCTTCAAAAGATTAAATGGTTCACTTCCCACTTGTTTACATTCTCTTCTTAATTGTTAGCAGTTTGTGCTGAGAAACTATGGCGCAGGCCCGTGTTTCGCTTTTCCACAATGAATGTCCGCTTTTCCATCTTTGTTGTCATATATCTCTTTGCTGTCACTTGGACCCACACAAACAAACAAAAGTCACACAGACTTGAGTTCAAAAGATTTGCTGTTTGACCGTTGGAGCTCACCCGCCCATTTTTTCTCTCAAAAAGATTTGGGTTGATTATCAAATGTATATGACCTCTCGCGTGTTCATTCTTATAATAACAATCGGGATGTCTGCCTTGCAGTGTGGATTTATTTTTATATTTTTTTGCCATTTTCCACAGTTTTCTGACATTTTGTCTGCAAATTTCCCCAGTGTGGGACAAATAAATGAAGGTTATCTTTTTCACAAACAGGAAATAATCACTTGATAATGTAAGACAATGTATTTCTGTAAAAAAGTGTCTCATCTCACAGCAACATTGACCTTTGCAAGGATGCTGTGTCCTTTGTTTTGATCAGAAGAAAAAATGCTTTTAACCACTGCATTGTTAGTTTGTTTAATAACTGGATTGTCATCTTTGGGCCCATTGTTTACACCCATTGTTTACAATTATTTGTGTCATTCATTGTAAGGTGTAATGATCAGCTTGTTCTAAACATTTGTCATATTTAGGGCATCACAGGAAGATTTAAAGGGGACATAATGTGCAAAGTTGACCTTTTCATTGCTTTTATGGAAATAACTGGTTCTCTCGAGTGCCTGCCCACTCATCAAGTGTGAAAATACACAAAACAACCAATGTCATAAAATGTATCTTGAAACACGCCATTTTGATTTTGGTGGCATTTGTGTTTGCTGTTGTGTCCCTATTGTAGGATCTGCTCACTAGGTGACAAGTGAAGTGCCGCCTCCACGAATGAAAATACAATTGATGGGTTTACTGCCGGTTATGTGCTTTCCACTTGTGGAATAAAATTAATTTTAAGGGTCTGTGATCTAATACGTCTTCATGGTAACGCAAAGCCATATGACATTGGCACACCTCAAATTAGAAGGGGGGCAAGGAGAGCTGTGTCGTGGCGAACTGCCCCCCACCACCAAAACCGTCTGCTCTAAACATTGCTGTTAAGAGAGAGTGACTAATGCGCTGTAATTCTAAATCCTTAGGGTATTTTGACTGACGCTTATCACATACGTGTTATTAAGATACCAAGAAACTCTTTAAATTACAGAAAATGGCATAATGTCTTATCACAAATACAATTGCTTTGGCTCATTCCACATGCGGCAAAAAAAATTCAAGTAAAATCAATCAAGCCTTAAAGTAACAGTACAACTGTTACAGAAAACAGCATTATAATATATTTTACTGGCTCTCCTCCTCAGGGCCTTGTTCACCTATGAAGGAAACAGTAATGACATCCGCCTGGCAGAAAAGGGAGGTGAGTAATTGGTTACGTCGTTCATCAAGCTTTTGTCATCTCAACACAAAAGTATCAAATGTGTGTTGGAATGTCTCTGTCAGCATGCAACCGCAGCATTGGAAGATCAGCACAAAACAACCGCTTGCCCCTGCTGTCTCAACCCATCATTTGCAAAGGCAAAAATGTTCCCTGTTATACAAGCAACCACAGCAGCCATTTGACTACTGCCACAATGTTTGTCTATCAGATGGTGGATTGGAGGAGATGGTTGAGGAGCTAAACAGTGGAAAAATCATGTATGCCTTCTGTCGGGTCCAGGACCCAAACTCCGGTCTCCCTAAATATGTCCTCATCAACTGGGTCAGTACTGCATTCCACGCAATGCATTTGTCGTCTCACACCAGTAAAGTGGTCCTTGAGAACCAATTGTTTGCATCTTAGACGGGGGAAGGAGTGAATGATGCCAGAAAAGGACTTTGTGCCAATCATGTGAGCTCCATGGCAAACTTTCTTAAGGTAACACTGCACTCATTTAAATATACATTTGACTTTTTGCCTACCATCTGTTTGCATTTAAAACATGCTGAATTGCACATTCTTCATCTTTCGAGGGCGACATGAAGAAAAGATTATTCATCAAAGCTGCATGCATCTGTGGAAAATGGCTCAGTTGGAATAGTTTCAATGTCAAGACATCGTATATCATAGAAGCAAGCGCTTGGAAAGACACCAAGTTCACACCAGCTTTTTTTCAGACTGAGCAGTAAATGGAACTTGAACTTTAATGTCTTTCAGGGGGCCCACGTTACAGTAAATGCCCGAGCAGATGAGGATGTCGAACCTGAGGTGATCATGGAGAAGGTGGCCAAGGCCTCCGGAGCCAACTATAGCTTCCACAAAGAAACCTCCAGCCGCTTCCAAGACAGCGGCCCTCAGGGTCCCGTGGTATGCCTCATTCACTGCTCAACCTGGAGAATTAGAAGTAGGGAGTAGTTGGGAAGGGTAAAAAGTTCTTTCTGGGACCTATTAAGTTTACGTTGCCCAGTGGCTACCTGTTTGAGGTCTAATTGATTTCCCCGTTTGGCTGTATCCGACAGACGATGACGTCAACTTGCTGCCTGTACTGGCTGCAACAGGAATTGAAATTGACATTTTCAATTAAAAAAAGTATATCTCAAAAAGTGAGTAAGTGAGGTACAAATTTCAACCACACCAACTTTGGAGTTTCCAGAGTAGATATTTTCACCTGCTGGACTTAGCATCCTATCTTGGCTTGAAACATGTTGCCATGCTTTTGCATATTTCTATAAAACAAAGAATTGGGACTTGGTTACAGTTGCCCATTGCATTTGAATATTAAAACATCCACTTCTGCCATTTGGATCTAGTTTTTCATTTTATGGCCTCTTCTGCGCTGAGCATAACGCATTACTACGTCGACCATTATCTACTGTATGTGCTGCCTCTCTACCATGACAGCCGATGTAGCGTATTCAAAAAACAATGTTCAATCTGGGCAACAGCATGCTGTGGCGACAAACGCCGCGTCCAGGAGGACAGGTGGTTTGGCGGAGTTGTACAGTAAACGGCATGGAGAAATAAAACAAAGGACGGTGTCCCGGCAGGATGTGTGCCGCCGATTGCCCAAAGTCAGCTGGGATAGGCTTAAACTAACCTGCCGTCCTGCAACGAGGCAGCAGTATAGAAAAGGGATAGATGAATATCTCTTTGAACATCTTCACAATGTAAAATTTATTATTGAATCTCATCACATTTGTACCCTGAATTGTCAAGTGATCTTAACTCTAAAATCTGATGTTCAGCTAAAGACTGTGTGATCGTGAAGCATTCAGGATGCATTACAATCCGTTTTGCTCCGATTTTGTTTTGTTGCCTTATGAATTCACGTTAGGTGTCTTTGCCGCAGGGTTCCGTGTACCAGAAGACAAACGCTATGTCAGAAATCAGGAAGACCAACAAGGACACATTCTGGGCACAGGCGGAGGTAGGCACACTGTTGCTGCGCCGGGTTTTCACCTCTGACACAGACACAGTGAATCACATTTTGCAACACATCGTTGTGATGGAGTTTGCTTTTTATATTCATTTGACAAGTGTTGTCACTGCCATAGCACACTTCGGCCCGTCTTTTCATTTTGTCCCCCAGAAAGAGGAGGAGAGGCGTCGCCTGGAGGAACGGCGCAAAGCAGATGAAGAGCGCCAGCACCTGGAGAAAGAGAGGAAAGACAGGGAAGTCAAGGAGGCAGCACTGAGGGACCAACGGGACAAGGAGAAGGCCGTTCAAATTGAGCAACAGAAGTACGTGGCAACAACCGAGCGTGCGTCTTGACATTTGCTCATGACATTGGTCTGATTTGATCGTTGCTTTGACAGGAAGTACCAGCAACAACAGGAGGCTGAGCGCAGAGAGCAAGACAAACAACGCTGGGTAAGTGTCTGCCTCCTTTTGTTTTGTGGTTGAGGGGGGGGAAAAAAAAAGATGAACCAGAGTAAGTAAATTAGAGTTTTTCATGTTGTCTTTGTCTTCAATATTCTCTTGGTTGGCCTTTGTTGTTTTCACGCAAGTCTTTTATGATTAACACGCACATTTTCATAGAGAAGTTGCAGGATAACTGATGAGAACCTACATTTAATGTGACCAGCAGGAGCAGCAGGAGGAGATGCAGGCAGCCCAGAAGAAAACCATCAGACGGGGGGAATCTGTGGAAAAGGCCAATGTAAGTCTCACTCCTTTAACTGGACGGCACAATTATTTTTGAGTCGCTGCCATTTTAAAGCGCATATACGACGGCGTCACCCTGCATTTACGTCAAGACAGAGCATGCGCAGACTATACGCAGCTCAGCTATTCTGTTTACATTACACCCGTTCGGACTGGCAAAAGGAGTATACCACCTCTGTGATTCCAAATAAAATTCCATTCAGCCTTTTTATTTAAATTGAGGTGTTTATATGGAGCTTTTTCATTCTGTCTAAGTCATTCTAATTGGAATACATGGCTCCATATAAATCTGGCTGTAGATATTAGATAAATAGGTAAATGAAGCATGAATTAATACAAAAGACTGTTTATTTCTCTGCTGAAAGGACAGGTTTCAACTTATGAAATACTTGTGGAGGCACTTCACCTGTCAACAAATGTACTGCAATACAACCTGGGCAATTTCATGTGGCGTTATTTTCGCCGAGTGTTTTTCTTTCCACTAATCTGCTGATGTCTGTGTCATAGGAGGCAGCCTCCCTCATCTCTCAGCGAGCTATGAACCCCAGAGACATGTTCAAGCAGAGAGAGAGGGGAATAACTCCCAGTGATTCAAATGTGCCCTCTGCTGCCCCTGCTAGCCCCCAGCCAGGTATTGTACCCCCCCATTCCCTTTGCCTTAAAGGTCAGCAGCTGCTACCTTTCCACTCTTGGCTAGCGGTGGCTACAAGCTGCATTTGTCCAAAACCGCCTCCTTGTGGAGCTCTGCCTGTCCATGATCACACTTAAACCTGTTGGTCTGTCTCCATCATGTGTCTCCTCCTTTCTTTTCTCTCCTCATCCATCTGTGCATGCTTTGGATTCTATGTGCGCCCCTACTTAGGGCGTCTGCAAAGCCCTTTCCTATCTAAGTATGAAAGCGAGCGGGCCAGCTCCCCTCAGCGCCAAGCCTCCCCCGTGCCGGCAGGCTCCGCCTCCCCTGTCCATGCTGCAGGTGTGAGCTTACACACACAACACAACATATCAGGTGATGGTTAGTCTATACCAGTGTTTCCCAACCTTAATTGTGCCAAGGCATGTTTTCCATCTGGGCCAGTTTTTATTCTTTTGTGTGAATGGCACTAGGGGGTTCCCCACTATATTGCAGTTTGCAATCATACTAAACAACGTTTTTAAGTGAATATTTTTATGGGTTTTTACGGCATTCTGATTTATTTTAAGGCCAAATTCCCAGTTGCTCGTGCACTTTTGAGCCATCTATTGCGCATTAGAAGAACAGTAAGGCACAGTTGAGCATCTTGATTCGGAAGCTCTCAGCCACAGCACTCACCGAGAGATTCACAGGCACCTAGCGTCAACCAAGCAGGTTCCTGCTTTTTAAAGGCGCGTGCACTTATACAAACACTACAATAAGTACAATATTTTTTAATATTTTCTGTGGTTGAATTTTTTTTTTGTAGTCAACTATGTTTACAACTATGTATGTGAAATTGAATTGTGTTGGAATACATTTAAAATGTGTTTAAAGCATATCGTCGCTATCCTATGTTTTTCACAGGACCAAAATTGGGCATCCCATTAATGTAAAAATGTTTAAAAAAGGACAAAGTTGGACGTACGTGTTTTTCATCGGACAGTGATCATACGGACATTGGGCTGAACGATTATGGAAAATCTAATTTAAATTTTTTTTCCCCCTCAGTACTGCAATTATTATATAACATGCAATTAATAAAATAAAGGACAAATAAAGGATATCTAATCTAATTATTTTTTCAATGTTTTCTTCCCAGTTTTTTTAATAAACACAAACAATGAAAATTAATCTGTACAATAGTACCTCTACTTCCGAAATTAATCGGTTCTGGAAGAAATTACTTAACTAGGAAATGTTGTAAGTAGAGACGCGTTGTCCATGTAATTGTCCTAATTCGTTACAAGCCCCCCCAAAATGCAAACAGAAATGTTTCCTAAAGCATAAAAATGCATCAAAATATGTAACAAATACATGTTACAATTAGATTGGTGCACAATAAATTAGAGTTGTTTATTAAAAAAAAAAAAGAATAAAAACGGTCATTTAACTTTTAACTGTGTCCTCATCGTTTTTTACCCTCTTTAGTCAGTGTTCTCTGTCAGAAGTGGGTGTTGCCTGGCATTTTGTAAAGAACTGATTCAAGGACGTTTGCTTTTGTCGGCTTTTAACAATCCTTCGAAAATGTCCAAGGCAAACATCAGCATAGTGAGCGACCGCCCGACTGGTGAACACTTTTTCTGGGTGATTCACATTTACGTAAAACTATCGGAATACCTCATGGCCCAAGGGGCAAATGATGAGGACATTGCATCGATACACATCTATCTATCTACACACATAGACACATACGGTAGAGGTCCCTCTGAGCCAATGAGATGCCAGAATGATGCTCGGGAATAGCCAATAGCAGTTCAGGAAACTCGGCGGTGCGAGAAGCAGCCCATTCTGTATTTTTACCTTTCGTATCTTGACACTTCTTTCGTAACAAGAGGCAATATTTTCCTGTTGAGACGTTTCATAACTTGAGAATTTTGTATGAAGAGACGTTCGTAAGTAGAGGTACCACTGTATTACAATAATATTTGTTATACATAAATGTTTTGGTCTGAGAGGTTAGGCTTATGTTTCAATCAGTTTCAATCATCATGTTAACTTACTAAACACAACGTTCATTACGACAGCTACAAAAATTTCCACAAGTGTGGAAGTCAGAAATTATGACAATAACAAAAACAAATTTGTGGCTCATCTCTTCAGTTTTTGATGTCTCATGAAACAACGATATGTGTGTCGCCGGCATACCGAACAAGCTCTCACTAGTTTGGGAATCACTGGTCTTAATGACAGCTATTCTTTGTTGCTTTTTTGCTATTTCCTCACTTACAGTCATTTCACCATTGCACTTCCAATCACTCATGCTGTGTTGACATTTATTTATTTTTTAATCACCCCTCCCATCTGCTACCGGTGGTGGTTTTCAACCTGTGTGGGCTTGTGTGTGTACATGCATGTCTGTGCTTGTGTTTTCGGGTAATAAGAGCCAGATCTGGATGATGGACAGTCCAGGTGTGAGTATGACGCGCCGGAGGTGGCCCCCGAGGAGCACTCCAAAGGTGGGGCATCGGTTGTCGTCTTAACCCTTTCACAGACACCCAGTGGCCCTCTCATTGGCCTCATATGCTCTAAACATGATTTGCCATCAGCTCCTCTGGCCTCCCAGACCAGCAGCTGCAATCCGCTGCTACCTGCTGGTAGCTAAATGCATGACAGGTTATTTTTCTTTTCACAGAGGAAGCGCCAGACCCTAGCCCCTGTGTGCAGGAGCCTTTACGTGAAGACCCCCCTCAGGTGGCGGTTCTGTTCTTTTGCAGCATTAAAAAATATATATTTTAGGACACAAATAAACCAAATTCTTTGGCAGGTCGAGGAGAACAATTATGAGGTGACTGCTGAGGAGACACCAGATAGAGGAATCTGTGCTCGGGCCTTGTATGATTACCAGGCTGGTAATTACATTTCATTTTACTGTTTTATTTTTAAAGTGCCGTGCTTGCCTGGGTTTTTTTGCGAGGTATTCCAACTTCTTCTTGCATTTCAAAAACATGAATTAGTACTTGGGAAATTGAAAACTGTAAATTATCCAAATGTGTGAGTGTGAATGCTTTTTTTGATGTGACTATATTTGGCATTACACCATAGTGAGCTTTTCCTCTTTTCTGAAAGCCTCATAAAACTATGCTAAGGAAAAATATAACTTTTGATTCATTTACTGTAGCCTTGGTTTAAAATGAGATCTGAAGCTTTGTCAAAGTGGGATTCAAAGGTGTACATCAACTATGTCCAAGTACTTAGTTTATGTCCTCGTCAAATGTGTAGTTTTTTTTTCATCTGGATTACAAAATATCCCAGTATTTTTGTTATTTTCCAGATGTGTTTCTTATAACATTTAAATCCACGTGACATGAAAAGTTGGGGAATGTGTAGGAATATGATTTTATACCTAAAGCAAACATGGAATCAATTGTGCCCTGTTGTTGAATTCAGCTGAAGTAGGCTCCATCTTAGCTGTGACCGTAATGAGGATAAGCACTATCGGAAATGGAGAAAGTGTTTGGATTTTTGTATTAAATGACTCTTGTGTTCCCTAGCGGACGATACAGAGATCTCCTTCGACCCTGATGAGATCATCACCGGGATCGAGATGATAGATGAGGGATGGTGGCGAGGCTACGGCCCCGACGGCCATTTTGGAATGTTCCCAGCCAACTACGTCGAGCTCGTGTAGGCGCGTCTATTCCCCGGTAACACAGGGAACCTCCCACGAAGAGTCCTCCACTGAACAAGCTTCTCTACATCACGGAGCAATGAAAGGACAATAAAGTAAAAGGCCTGGCCATTTCAAGTAATTCTCATTTCAAGCTCTGAAGCAGGTACCTCCACCTCCACCACTTGACCTGTAAATGTGATGAGCCTTAGTATGAATCTTGATCATTTCTGAGCATACGCAGCACTTGAGTCCACATTCCTTTCAAAGTGACCTATTTATCTGGTGTCATCGTATTACTTGCTGTAGCAGCGGGGGTGGGGGAGGTAATTCAAGATGGTGGTACTAGTTTCGTTTCAATCCTCTGTCTTGTTTCTTGCATTTGTTCCCAGAAAACCAGATGTACCTTTTCATGTGACTTACCATAAATTATGTCTAAATTTCAAAGCTTTTTGAAGTGGATGTTGTTAAAATGGCACACTCATGCTCTCTGGGAGGGTTGGCTTTGTGATTAGGGAGACAGTCAGTTCAAGTTCCTTGGAGTGTGTTTTGTGTCTTTTTGGTCTCCATTTCAATGTACAGTATTCAACATTTCTGAGGTGTCCTAAAGTGAAAATACATCTAAAAATAGCACCTTTTCCATGATGACTTTGTAACATGTGAGATGTGAGAGAGGATGTAAGTACTAAAAAGCTTTTTGTGATATTTTAGAGAAAAAGAAAGTTGAGTTTGATCTTGAAACATTCTAGCTTTTCAGAGTATCATTCCTGATCAGTTCCAGATCGATTTGGAATATAGTGTAATGTGCCGTTCTATGCCAGAGTCTATTGTAATCCAGCCTTTGTAATAAAACAAATAAATCCCCTTTGTGGTCATATCTTCTCATATTCAAACACATGTCGTCAATGAGAGAATTGCTACAAAAAAAACAAGGGATTTTCAGAAGTTAAACAGGTACCCTGATGTAAAGACAACATATCTTAAGTCAGTTTCCTGGAATGAAATGGCGTGTGGGGAATTCACCCACTTAATGCATAAGTTTCATTTCATTTGAAAAAAACACTTCGCCTTTCCTGCATGCTTACTTTTTCTAATACGGGGCGGGAAACTTTTTTTCTTGAGGGCTGCAATTGGTATTTGAAACCAACATATTGGCCAGGTCATTTGCAGGTCAAATGAATTAGTCTTTAAGTGTGAAATTGGTTGTTTTAATAAGATGTTTAGTCTCTGTAATTGTTGTGAGGATAAGTGGGGCAGATAATGGATGAACCCATGTTTGCGGTCAAGTATCAACCAGTTTATTAAAAAGTGAAATGTATGTGTTAATGTTACAAAGTTTTCAAATATTTACAATAATCAATTATTTAACAGCATGAAGAAATACATTTCACATAGCCAATTTTATATGGGAGAAAATTGCAAAATCAATGTAACAAATATCACCGACTCCTGGTAATTGCAAATGCTAGGTTTGTCGGATTTAAGGAGACCGCAGGCCATATGTGGCCCGTGTGCCACCCGTCTCAAGAATTGCAGAGGTCCACTTTGATGACATATAACTGCGGTTTACAAAAATGTTGTGATTTGAAAATGTTGATGGAATTCCAAACTGCAATTACGTACAGTCCATTTTATTCCTTCTTAGCTTCCAAGGAGTTCATTCAATACCTTGTTTTCACTAACTTGATGAATGATGCAAATTATGTGGAGATGTTGCCATGTAGCTTTAAGGCACTGTTACTATCTCTGTAAATTTGGTATTAGAATATGTTCACGTTTAACCCTGAGCCCTTGTTTGATATTAATACCATTCCAGCTTCTTTGTGGCCATTTTGGTCCAACTACAGGCAGTTTTGTCAATTTTAATATTTTCCATGATTTTTGCTTCTTTTAGTACATAGTTTTTAATTAACATCACTTTTTGTTGTTCATATTAAATATCTATTCGTTTTCATTTTTAACTCTTCAAACCAGAAATTTAAAAAGTGAAAAAGTACAATTAAAGATAAAACGACCAGAATATGAAATAGCGAAACCCTTTTCTCATTTTCTGCGAATGCCTTTTACGCCACCCCATCTATGCATGAACACATCCAAGCTGTCCACAATCTAATGTCCTTTTAGGTCGGGGGTAGGCAACCCGCGGCTCCGGAGCCGCATGCGGCTCTTTAGCGCCCCCTAGTGGCTCCCTGGAGCTTTTTCAAAAATGTTTGAAAATGATGAGGGAGGGAAATATATTTTTTGTTTTAATATGGTTTCTGTAGGAGGACAAACATGACAAACATTAACGTTTTCCAATGCTGTAAAAATGTGGAGAATAAATATTTAATTTCAACGTTTCTGTCAACGAGGATTTGCGGCATAGCCTGCAACACACGTTTCTATGAGCAGGACGGGATGCCAGGCAGTTGGCTGTTGTAAAAAAAAAACAACCAAACAAACAAAACAGCATTTGATGCACAATTCACCGAGGGTACTGGCAAAGAATCTGGATGTGGAAGACCGAGAGAAGCATTTTTAAACGTTATATATATGTGAGCTACGATATTTAACACGCTGCAAAAGTGTGTCCCATGCCTCGATCATCTTAGGGGCCATAATGACTGTTGCTCATAATGGCATGCGTGTGTGCAAGAAAGGATTGATCGAAAAGTAGATCTTCTGTCAAAACATGTTGGGCACCCGTGCTCTACAGGATGTACTGCAGGAAAAAAAGATTAATCATGAAGGCTCATTGTGTATTCGTAGCCAATTTAGTCATTTTGATAGTAGGCTAATATAGATACAGCATGTGTTGCCTTCATTGTAAGGCATAAATAAAACAGCTGGGAGTGCCAATAAACAATTTGAAGCTCCTTTTTTGAAGAATTAGTCACTGTCTGCCAAAATGCTGCTTGCTGGTAAGTCAGTTGACTTGAGTTCACTACCACCATGCGACACATCTCAAAAATGGCGTATCACAAAACACCATGGCACCACCCAACAGTTGAGCTATTAGAAGAGAGAAAATGTGTTTGAACTGTGTTTAGCTAGTGCATGGAATTCTACCAATGAATTCAGTTGCGTCAGCTTTAACAATATTTTGATCAATTTCTTAAGAGGAAATTACTGAATTTTCTTGATTCATTTTGCCGAAGCTCCAACTCTATCTCTGCATCTCTTCCTCCTCATCAATGGCCTTCGTGGTGGAAAAATTTACTGTTGTGTTCAGGTCTTTAAAGGGGAACATGTATTTTAACGCTTTGCTCCCAGGAAGCTGACTCATTTCAGACCATCATCATATTTTACAAACGTGTAGTCTTATCGCTTACCCTTTGTGAACAACAAGAAAAGCACATTTAAGACTTCCATTTCTGTAAACTATGAAAAATAAAATAAATCCACACGACATTTCAACTCAGGAGGGATGCATTAATAGTCATTTGTCAAGTTGACAATTTCATAAAAAGTACAGTAGAAATATTTTGCGATTGTGACATTTCATTAAAACGATTTGGAAATGTCATTGAAAATGTTGCACCTACCGCAGAGGGCATCCCCTTTCTGTGACAGATCAAAGACAAGTAGAGGAAATGTGGACCCTGCGTTGCAGCTTAACGTGTGTGTTATTTGTGTACATTTGCTTGTTGTTGGTCATGGGAAAAATCTGGAGCTTTATATGACACTGAGCAGATATCAGATTGACCTGATTCTCTCAAAGTGATGATGAGTGTGTGATAACGACGACGCTACACTTTAACAGCTACAAGTCCGCCACTTGGATCGCTGTCATGGAAATTGTTATGCCCTAATCTTTCTCTTTCTCTCTTTTCGTTTTTTTTAAGCATTAGGACAAAGGTACCGATACGATTTGAAAAAAAAAAAAGCAGTGGTCCTTTCATCTTTGTTAATATAATTACATGCTCTTGTATACATTTCCCGGTGTTGGATGTTACAAAATTAAATGCAAGATGAAATATTTCAAATTGTACACTTTATGATAATAATATGTTGCCCTGTCCCTTGTACTGTACTTACCTCACTATTACTTTCAAAACCCCTTTATTTAATTCTTATCCCAGACGATTTTGGAGAATGCACAATGTTTTGCAGCATGCTGAAAGATCTCAACATTATTCTAGCTAGCATAATCATAATGGTTAATAAAGTGTCATTTCTCGCAAAAAAAAAAAAACTATTCACCTCCCAAAAATATCATTTCAACTCAAAATTCTCTCAAGGTGTGATTTTCTGCTTAGTATTCACTCGAACTTATAATTACAGATTCTAAAAATCTTGTCTATACAGTGTGGTTGGTGGCAGGAATGATACTTCATCTGTAAAACCCACATCAAAACTAAGATGGAAATGAAACTTAAACAAATTGGGGGAAAGCTTATTCAAAATAGCCAATACAGAAAAGCTGGGATGAAGTACAAATTCTGACTGATACCCACTTTTATAAAATGTTGGTCTCATACTAAGGAAACAACTGTAATTACTCACCATAATTATGTGCATGCTTTCTCGAATATTTATGCATACTATCAATGTGTTCATTGATTCATTATAATTAATTGTCTTTGTTCTTAAATGTGTTAGTTTTTTTATCTAAGAGGTTCTGTTTTTTTCAGTTTTGTATAATATATATTGGTTTCCTAGCTCATCCTAAATACCATATTTTGTATAATATTCAGAAAAAATGGAGAGTCGGCTTGATTGGCATTTACAGACGTGACATACTGTAAGAGTTGAAATAGAGGAGAAAAAAAATATGCCTCTGTGTGTGTGTGTGTGTGTGTGTGTGTGTGTGTGTGTGTGTGTGCTCGCGAGAGATAGGTGTCAACCAATGAGCATGTGCACTGTTAGAGACATCGTCTTATGTCAAAGCTTGATCTACAGTCACAAAATACACTCCCGTTGGAAGACGTCCTCTATGGGTGAGAATCACTTTTTAATTTTTATTCACATCAACCAGTTTACTTCTTAATTCAGTTTTTAACGTAACATCATGTGTTCTGTGAAAAGACAATGACTCATATCACAATGTATATTTAATATGAATAGTTGGTTTCATGTTCATGAAAATAAAAAGAATGTATTCATGAGCGATGAAAATATAAATTTGACAAAAAGAAATGTTTTGCGTCTATGTATTGGGTCAAGTAATTAGTTGAAATGATCTGTAAAATAGAAGTGATATATTTGAAGTACAACTCCCATAGATGAAATAGAGAAGTCGGGGGTTATATTGAAAGCAGAATGCGAATCTGAAGCCGCAGCACAGGAAGCAAGCGATCTCAAAAGGAGCGTATTGGTTTTACACACAAACGAGACAGCGGTTGAAGAGATGAGAGCAGACACTGCTGGCCTGAAGGGACTTTCATTCATTTTAAAATGTAAGTCTTATATTCTCCAAAGTATGGATTTTTTAAAAAATGGTGATCTTCATTGGACTACATTCGTGAATATTTTATTGAAACTACGTTAAAAGTTTTGGGGTTTATTATGTGGTATTTTTGTTTGTTTGTTTTGAAGAAACACTCGGTGAGAGAATGTCACATTAATCAGAAATACTGATGAAACTTTTTTTTTTAATGAGGACATTTCTATGTGACCATAAATTAGACACAGTATATTCGGATGATGTAGTGCCGTGTTAACACAACTGCAAACTACATGCCCAATTACAAACATCTTGTGAAATGAATACCTCTCTCAAAAAGGGAAATCCAGATATTGTGTGGGCTCTCTTTTTACACGAGAATGCAGTTGTACCTAATATAGTGGCTGCAGACTGATCCAACGTACAGTTTAAGTTTAGTCTCCGTATAACAATATTATACAGGGCTTGTGTTCGTGAGCAGGAAGTGGTTTGTCACCTGTGGTTTCATATCAGACTCCAGTGACAATATGTTCATACAACCGTTTGAATATGATGACAATTACGGTTATGGGAACAGCGACTCCGTTCAAATGATGCACAGTTGCATGTCTGATATTATTTGATGTGAAGTGAACTAACAAAACATGGTGTCTTTATTGTTTAGCTCATGAGGACCAGAGCGCGATGGCGCTCAGTGAGGAAGATATGGAGACAGCGGCCGAGGTAGGAAAAACTGCCGGTAAAAGGTCTGTTGGCCTGCTGGGTGCTCTGTGAGCTATTTTCATCAGTTACAGTTGATGTGTGACTGCAGACATGACTACACACAGACGCATTCTCATTTCCCTTTTTGCTGCATTTCATCAGGAGCGCAAATTTTGAAGCGCTTGATCGTATGTGTCATTTCTGCTCTGCTTGTGAAATGAGTAACAAGAATCGCATGATTCTTCTTTGAAGGCACAATTTAGTTCTGGTAACTGAGAGCGAACTGCAATGTGAGGAAGGCAGATTGGTTTGTCAAATTTTCCCAACTTGGTGGCTTCTGCCCTGACCTCTGGCCGGCCTGTAGCAACGACTTTTGGCAATGTCGCCCACGCGTAGGTCCCCGAAGGTTTCAATTCAACAGCTCTACCCATGCTGCAGTTGGTCGAGAATATTCAGTGCAGCTTCCAATGCCAATCTACCATAGTTTTAAACAAATTTGGTCAAACAGTGACAGCATATCAGCATGAAGAAAAGATTGACATTTCGTGTCCTTTCTTCTTGAAGTTACATCACAGATAGAGTAGATACATCTGCTTCTGCTCAATAATGAGATCCAATTCAAGAGCTTTACAGTGACAGAGCCTCAGCATCAGCCAATTGTTGCTTCCAGGACATATTTCTGCACCCCCCCCCCCCCCCCCCCCCCTCGCGTTCTCT